AAAATTCAACTTAAGGACAGACCTTGGGAATGGAACCTGTTCTTAAACCGGGGGCTACCTCTACTGACTTTCTTCCTAAGGACCTCAGAGTAGCTTCATAACAAATTAGCACAGTAGATTTAGTTGGGCATCTATGACTTGCCAAGACCACTAGGTGAGTGTCTCAAGGAAGCTGAATATGAATCTAGGTTGACCGAGTGTCAATTATTCTAGCCACTGACCAGTTATACCCTAACCATGTAACTAAATCTACTGCAAGCAGCTGAACTGTTCTGTATGCTAAAATTAAAAAGCCAATTGAATAAAATTGAAAAAAGGGTCTCCGATTAGCTTTGCACTACTCAGCTGAGGTTAAAAAAGTTCTGGAAAGCTTTTATTCATTCACTAGCATATACAAATATTTTGGCTTTTTCCACAATATGGAAAATTATTCAAATATCCTTCAAATAAGAGGCAGCCTCCAGAAAGATGTGGGCTCTTTTTTTCCTTGTAAGTATGCAGCACGATCATGCTTGTGGCAATGATAAATAGACATGACTCATCTGCATATCCCATAACGTGGTGTCATTCATTAAAATGACTTTAAAAGAAGGGCATATAGAATTAAGATTACCTCCACAATAAAACACAAGGCAGCAATGACCCCATAACACTTTTCATTTGAATGGGAAGGAAAAGATTTTAGTATGAGCCAGGATTCTTTATTCAAGAACTCTTCTCTAAGTTGCCCAGTGGAAGAAACTTAAAAGAATACCAATTTACCTAAGGAGACATCTAAAACTATGCCCACCTATCTAAAAAGTTAACCTTATTTAGAATAATGAATATTTCTATTAAGCAAACAGGCTTACGCTGATGGATTAAATTAGGTTTTAACAGTTTATTGATCACTTCTATACACATTGGTATTTGACCGAAACCATAATTTTGAAGGAAAAAGGGATGCTATCTTTGGGTTTAGATGGCATATGCATATACTTCGGTACGTGCAATTTTAGAAAAAACATTCCTTCTCATATGAAAGCAAAAGGGGCGCGCCACTTATAGTTTGTCCCAAGCACAGAAGCATCCCTTCTGAGAAAAAATAAAGCTGATATCAATAAGCATTAAATAATAATTTAAAAAATACTCCACAGTTCCCCAATTAAGAGGGAGAACAGCTTTTTAGTCCAGTAGAAAGGCTTCCGTCTAATGAATGAAGTGGTTAAAGATTTCGCTCGCGTCCCCCCCCCCCCCCTCCCCCCGGAGCTCTCAGTCCTGCACCGCACAAAACCTTTCCCTTTATCGCTTCGTCCTTTGGGGTGGAAAGCAAAGGTTCCCGGGGCCCCAAAGAAAAGCAAGCTCCCTACCGCGAAGAGTCTGTTTTAAAAGCACGTTTGGGACCGTCTCCCTGGCCTACTTCCACAATTCAGAAGAGCGAAATGAGGTGATGAGACGCCTCCAGAGGCAACCAACTTTCCCCCCTCTCTGCTCAGGAAGTTTTCCTCTCACCACCCAACGGGAAGGGAAGAAGCGCCTGCGACCCCAGACTCACCTTTCCAGGAAACGTGGCACCGCTCGTTGGCAGGGCGCCTTCTCGTGCCTCGAGCCCCCTGCCTAGCCGGGGAGGGGGCTTGGGTTTGTTTTAGTCCTACTTGCGCCCCGGCAGGTCAAGCTGGCTTTTCTTCGGAGCGAGCAAGCAGGCAGGTAAGCGCCAGGGGCCGCCTTACATCGCCGCCAGGGCGAAGAGTGACCTGAGCCTGGCGGCAAGGTAAGGACGAGGCGGCGCAGGACGCGGCCGCTTCAGCCCGACTCCGCGTTCACAGCCATGCCGGAGGAGCATCCCCAAAAGCCGGGCGAAGAGCAGGCGCTGGAGATTGCGGTGAGGGAAGCT